CTGAAGCTCAGGCAAGCTCCTTGCGACCGCGGGCAGCAGCTGCGACCATGTTCTTGAGCTGAGCAGTGCACTCCTCCCAAGTACGGGTCTTGAGGCCACAGTCTGGGTTTGCCCAGATGCGCTCCTTCTCAATGTGAGCGGTAAAGTCCTTCAGACGAGCGAACATCTCCTCCTCGCTGGGCACGCGGGGACTGTGGATGTCGAAAAGACCAGGGCCAATGTCTTGGGTGTACTTGAAGTCCCTAAAGGTCTTGAGGATCTTGGCGCCTGCTTTGCTGTTCTCGATCGAGACCATGTCAGCGTCGAGGTCGAGAATGGATTGCATGATCTGCTTGTTGGCAAAGTCAGAGTAGCAGAAGTGGCTTGCGATGTGCACGGAAGGGCTGATGGACGAGGTGGCCAGCTTGAAGCTGTCAACAGCCCACTTGAGGTAGGCAGTGTGGTCTTGGCTTCGCAGAGGCAGACCTTCACGAATGGCAGGCTCGTCGACCTGGATGGCAAAAATGCCAGCCTTCTCGAGGTCAGAGACTTCGTCACGCAGAGCCAAACCAATCTGCTTGGCCTGCAGCTCTCGAGTAACATCTGCACGAGGGAAGGACCAGTTGAGGATGGTGACGGGTCCAGTAAGCATACCCTTCATGGGTCGCTTCGTGAGGCTCTGCGCGTACTTGCTCCATCGCACAGTCATGGGCGCAGGGCGAGAAACGTCGGAGACAATGATGGGAGGTCTGACGTATCGAGATCCGAATGATTGCACCCAAGCGTTCTGAGTAAAGACGAAGCCGTCGAGGAGCTCTCCAAAGTATTGCACCATGTCGTTACGTTCCGGCTCTCCGTGGACGAGCACGTCGATGCCAATCTCCTCCTGACGCTTGACAACATCTTGAATCTCAGCCTCGAGGAACTTCTCGTACTCGGCTTGCGTGATCTCGCCCTTGGTGAAGCGAGCACGGTATTGACGAATCTCCTTGGTCTGAGGGAAAGATCCGATGGTGGTGGTAGGGAAGGTGGGCAGGTTGAGGTGCTTGCGCTGGGTCTCGCTGCGAACGGAGAAGGGCTCGCTGCGCTTGTAGTCGGATTCCTTCACAGCTGCAAGCCTCTCACGAACAGCAGGGTTGGAGTTCTTCTCGAAATCACGACGAGCCTTGATGGAGCGCTGGTTGACCTCGAGGATAGCGGTGGCGCTGTTAGGGTCTTTGAGGGCAGCATTCAAAGTGGCGACCTCGGCGGCCTTCTCAGTCGCAAAAGAGAACCAGTCGAGAATCTCTGGGGCCAGCTTCTTCTCGTTCTTGAGCGTGATGGGGGTGTGCAGGAGCGAAGAGCTGGACGAAATGATGACTCGCTTGGCATCCCCTCCGAGAGCAGAAACAGCCTTTTGCGCGGTTTGAAGAGCAGCGCTGAGGTCAGTCTTCCAAATGTTGCGTCCAGAGACGAGACCAAGAGAGATGACGACATTGGTGCTTGCAAACGCGGAGAGGACCTCATCGAGCTGCTCGGGAGCGCGGTCCAGGTCGACGTGGAGACCAGCGATGGGCAGATCCTTCAGGAAGTTGACAGTGTTGCCGACACGTCCAAAGTAGGTCGCGAGGAGGACCTTGATGCTGGGAGCAGCCTTTGCGAGAGTCTCGTAGGTCTGCTTGAATTCAGACGCCAAGTCTGCACCGGCGTCGAGAGCGAGAATGGGCTCGTCGATCTGCACCCACTCGGCGCCAGCCTCGGAGAGCTTGGCAAGGAGCTCGCCGTAGACAGCGGCGAGCTTGGGGAGCAGGGTCCAACGGTCAAAGGTTTCGGACTTGGCATCAGCGCCGACCTTGCCGATCGCGAGGATGGTGAGGGGGCCAACGAGCACGGGACGAGCGTTGTAGCCAGCTTGCTTGGCCTCCAGGAAGTCGTCGATGGGCTTGGTGTCCTTGATGGCAAAGGCAGATGACTCTGTGAATTCGGGAACGATGTAGTGGTAGTTGGAGTCGAACCACTTTTGCATCTCCTGCGCAGGCAAGTCGACGCCGCCCTTTTGGTGACCGCGGGCCATGGCAAAAGACTGGTCGAGAGCGCTCAATCCAGACTTTGCGTAAGCCTCGGGCACAATGCCAAAGGTGTTGGAAATGTCAAGCACGTGGTCATAGAGGGAGAAGGTGCCGCTGCGGGTCGAGAGGAGCGCGATACCGATTTGCGTGAGGATCTAGCTCGTGGCAGACTGAGTCTCGAGCGCAACGAGCACTCACGTGGGGATCACATCCACACCTTGCTCCTTGATGGTCTGGTAAGTCAAGAGACGCTGCTCCTTGGCGACCTTCAAGAGCTCCTCAGAAGAGATCTTGCCGGACCAATAAGCCTCATTGGCCTTCTTGACCTCACGCAGAGGGCCAATGCGCGGGAAACCGAGAACTGCGGATTGGCTGCCAGGAGGGCGCGGACCAGAGGAGAGCATGGACTGAGCTATGCGCGCCTCGACGGATGTGCTTGAAGAAAAGTGTGCGGCTACTCACGACATGGTGAAGAGACGTGCTCGGGGGTCAGGTAGCACAAAGGATGAAAGCGAGGACGAGAGCGACTTCCGAATGCCTCTTTGCAGATGAGAGGTAGACAGTGCTGCTGAAAGGTGGGTTGCGAGGGTCCTGCGACTCAGCGAAAGATGGATGTTAGGCCAAGTATCTCACTGAACAGATGGGATGATGGCTGTCGTGTGCAGAGGGCGAAGCATTCACTCAGCTCAGGGGGGGGCAGATTTGATTCCTCATTTCGCAGCGCAGACAAAGCACGGATCACGAAGAACTTCTGCTCGCCATGTCACGCGGCACATGCGCGCGCCCGCCATGCTCCAAAGCGCACAGACTCACGAACGACCTGCTGGCTGCGACACTCATCCCTAACCACACACTCTACCGTCCTTGCAGCAAGCATCACACTCGCACATGCGCATGCACTCACAAGTCTGACTCTGACTGCTCGCCCGCCCGAGCTTCTCTTTCTTCCCTCAACTTCTTCGCGCGTGGAAAATGTATCAGATCGACTCACACTGCTTCTGTGCCGCGCACGACTCTCACGGTCCAAAAGCAGAGAAGAGCATGGTGCACGTGAGTTCAATACTGCTAACCTCCCTCCAGCCGATTAAAATACTTGAATACAACCTCCAAATTACAGCCTCGGTCACTCCGCGCGCAGACATGCTTGCCTGCAGGGCGCGCAGACGCTACAAGTACAGCTGCTGCTTGCTGCTGCTGCATGCCTCGCCACGACAAAAACTCGAGTGCGGGTGAGCGCAAAAATTTTGTGTAGCTGTGGTGCACAAGGCTGATCAGGCGAGCGGTCCATCTCCGGGCAAGGTCCTGCATTGAGCGCACCAGGGAACGTGACCATCCTCCTCAGGCCACGGTCACACGACGGGCTGCACCTGTGTCTGCGCGTGGCTTCAAGCTGTGAGAGGGGGACGGTTCTTCGGTGATTCGGCCTCCTCATTGCCAATCGTGAATGCGTCGTTGATCCAGTCGGTCATTGCTAGCGGTCAGACATCGCGAGGCGAAGAGGCGAATCGATCAAGAACAGTCACTAAGATCGGGATGGATTGGCCTATTAAAGCATATATAGATGAGACTAGGTGAAAGCTTTGTGATCCGAGTGCAGTTGGGAAGCGCAACGTAGAGCGGTGAGAACAAAAGCGGGGGGATGTTACAGGAGAGACGGTTGTGTGCAAGTGACGAGTCGACGTGAGATTTAGGAATTTGCCACGGCCCGGGAAAGATGCACTCTGCGTGCAGCATGCTGAAGACCGACTGAACAAGCTGGTTGAGCGTATATACGCGAGTCAGGAACGCTTCGAAGAAACGAGGTGTGATTGCGAGCAGCCATACGAACAACAGAGCGCTCATGTGGCCATCATGCTAGGGGCGTTCGAGTCTGACGCGTCACGGTGACTAGACTGCGCTTGATTGCCTCCTCGTTTGGCGTCGAGCATGTCGAGTATTTGAGTGACTGCATTCTCATCCAACTCCATTGCGCTGCTGTGCGGTGATCGCGCAGCGCCGCTTTCAGGTGGTTGGGGCGCTTTGCGTGCACCGGCTGCCACAGGAGGTCTGCCGGTGTTCGGAGCCTGGCCACGCGCCTGGGTGGCTGCCACCGCATCTTTTTGCCTGGTAGCGTTTGTAAAGAAGTCGTCTGACGACCTGTTGGAGCTTTGCGAGCTTGAACGTCTTTCCAACGACTGGGCCGAACGGTCGGCCGTGCTCGCAGAGCGGCCCGAAGAAGGAGAACCGCTAGAATGCCTAGGCTCGAGGGCGTCCACAAGCTCTTCCAACTCCTTCTCGCTCGTCCTCAAGAAGGCTGGATGCTGCGACAATCGAGAGTAGACGCTGCTAGGTGTCATCGAGGCAGCGCTGCTGCTCTGTGCCAGCGGCGAGGAGCCGTGCCCCGGCGCTCTCCAGATCGTGGTAGCCTTGGTGCGATCAGTCGAACTCGGTATGCGCCACATGCTCGAGCCTGACTTCGTGCCTGCATCTTTCGTCTGATGCGTTGCCGAGTTGTCCTGGTACATGCTTGGCGGTTGGAAGCCCAAAGATGCGTACGGGCTAAAATCTCGCGAGGCGAGCTTGCGTTCGAGCAAGCGCAAAAACATCTGAGCATGTGCGGTCGGTGGCATGGGAGGCGGCATCGACGGCGAGGCCGACAATTTCTTCTCCATAGAAACTGCGTTTGACCGTTGATTTGACAAGCGCGATACGTCGTTAGCCTGGCTACCATCGAAATTCTGAGCACCAAATGTCCCAGTTGGAGTGAAACCACCAGAAAGGAAAGCTGAAAAATCGATCGGGGTGCCACCGAAGATGCCGCTTGGCCCTCCGCTACTCCTGTCAGAGTTCGACTGCTGTTGGGCTGCAGCGACGACTTGTGCTTTCTCATCAAGGGCAGTGGGATCTTGGCCAGGTGTGAGCATACCTCCGCCGCACATGGCGTCCCACCAGGACTGATCAGGAGGAGAGTGCGACGCGTTGCTAGAGAGATTGAATGCGAACGGGATAGGGTTGGGATTGAGCAAAGCATCGTTCTGATAAGTCCTTTGGGGAAATGGGAACAGGGAGCTCGAAGAGTTCGTGGGCATGTTCCCAGCGATGTTAGCTGTTGTGGCCGTCGAGAATTGTTGAGACGCAGAAGGCGGGAGACCAAGCATCGCGCTGCCGCCAGTACCGGAGCCACCGAAACCCCCCAAGCTGGAGCCGGCCGGCTCGTAGACCACATCCGCATTTTGCTGCTGCTTCTCTTGGGCGTTTGCGGACGCTTGCGTACCCGACAAGCCGCGGAGCGACAGCAAAGGACTCTTTGGTCGAGCGTTGTTTGCGCCGTCTGCTCCATCGCTGATAGCTGATGGCGAGTGACGCGCATTTCCACGCTGAGCTCCGTCAATGTTGATGATTTGAGGCACTGAAGATTGTGATCGTTGGCGCGACTTCACTTGGCTAAGCCCAGGTCGAGTCTGATTGCCGCCCGTCTCTTGGTTGCCGCGGAATGCGTCTGTGATGTATGCGTTCGGGTTGCTAATTTGCCAGTCGAAATGGCAGACGGAGAGTCCCGACGGCGAGACTGCGGAATCCTTTGCGTTGCCACGAGAGGTGCTGGCAGAGTGTTGTCTCTGCGCACTGTGACCAGCAGCATTCACGGAGTCCTGGTGTGAAGTCAACGTAGTGCTCCTGTTGCCCATGCCAACATCCATCACGTTGAGGTTCATGTTGAGATTGAGATCGAGGTCGCTCGGCATCGCTACGCCAGTTGTGGAAGGATGCGGCGCGACGAAGGAAGCGCCGGGGTGCGCAGTGTTGTTGTTGTTATGACTGCCGGATGCGTGACCCGCGGAGGTGTACGCTTGGCCAAGGTAGCCCTCGCGATTGGGCGTGCTGCACTGTTCGATCGCTCGTGGGATCATGTTGGCAAATCCGAGTCGCACGAGCAAGCCGCGAAGAGCCTCGTTTTCGTCCTTGAGTCGCCTCGCTATCCGCTGAAGCTCGGCATTGGCCTCAAGCCCCATCTGGTCGAAGCGACGGCATCGTTCCTCGAGGTCTCGTACGCGGGCTTCGCGTCGTTTGCGAAACTCGCGCTGAGCCTTGCGGTTTTGCAGTGTCCGTTTGGTGACGCTAGGCTCATTTCCAGCATCGCCGCCTTCCCCTGGGCCGAGCCTGCCGGATACGTCGCCTTCATCGTCGGACACGGGAGTGACTGAACGCCTGACAGTCTTGGTGGGATTCGAGACAGCGGAAGCTGCCGGCTTCCTCTTGAGCGAAGCTTCGGGAGATTGCATTGTTATTGTTATGAAGCACCTGAAAGTAGTGGTGCTTGCTTGCACGTTGTGGCAGCCTACTTGGTGAAGTGCGTTGCTGCAACGGGGATCGATGGGTGACTACTCTCGCCGACGGCAGTGACTCGTGTCGCTGCACTGTCACGGTATGGATGGGGACTGGATTTAAATGGTACCAAGCCAAGCGAGATGGTAGGCGCGACGAGGAATCTCTCGCCAGTGACAGCAGAAGATGGTCCGTGGTGACGGAATGAGGAGTAAATAGGCCCAAGGTACGCGA